GAGGAGGAAGAGATTGGTAGAGGAGAATTGAGTGAGGAAGAGATGGTGGGGGAGGGGGAGGAGGAGGAGGAGGAGGAGGAGGAGGACGAGGACGACGACGACGAGAAGGAGAGGAGGAGGAGGAGGAGGTGGTGTGGGAGGAGAAGGAGGAGGAAGAGGAGGAGCAGGGGAGGAGGACGAGGAGGCGGAGGAAGAATAAGACCAAGGGAGAAGGAGGAAGATTGATGGAGGGAGGAGGACGAGGAGGAAGAGGAGGTGGAGGCGTAGGATATGGATGAGGATGAGGATGTGGGAGGAGGAGGAGGAGAAGAAGAGGTGGAGGAGGATGTGGAGAGGAAAGAAGAAGAGGATGTTTAGAGGAGGAAGAAGAAGAGGAGGAAGTGGTGTATATATATAATATATATATATATATATATATATATATATATATATATATATATATATAATATATATATATATATATATATATATATATATATATTATATATATATTATATATGTATGTATGTATATATATATATATATATATATATATATATATATATATATATATATAATACATACATATACATATATAAAGATACCTGGATTATAGAATAACAAAAGGATATGTTACACAGTATTTTCCAACAGGACAGAATCAACAGAAATGAAATATAACAACCAAACAAGACTAAACTATCCTCGGGGTTGTTCAGGGAGCCGGTTTATGCGTTGCTGTTTCCACGGCTTGCCAGGGTTTGAGGACACTGGCTTGTGATTGATGCGCCGTAGTTATTGGTGCCGCTGAAAGGGACGTCGTCGACCATGGCACTGGCACTGTCTAACTGGAAGGAAAGGGTGAAATATTATGTATATCTTATCTTTTCCCTGTCTGTCTTGTCTGTCTGTCTGTCTGTCTGTCGGTCTGTCTCTCTCTCCCTCTCTCTCTGTGTCTCTCTCTCCCTCTCTCTCTTCTCTCTCTCTTTGAAGCTTAGAAACAAAAAAGTGAAAAGAGAGAGGAAAGAATGGAAGCGAGAATACAATATAAGTAATGAACTGAAAATGTTTGTAAAGGAAAATATTGATAAGAAATATCAATCTGTAAAAAGATTGATAGATAGATGGGTGATAGACAGATATATATATATATATATATATATATATATATATATATATATATATATATATAGATAGATAGATAGATAGATGAGAGAGAGAGAAGAGAGAGAGAGAGAGGAGAGAGAGAGAGAAGAGAGACAGAGACAGAGACAGAGACAGAGACAGAGAGAAGAGAGAGAGAGAGAGAGAGAGAGAGAGAGAGAGAGAGAGAGAGAGAGAGAGAGAGAGAGAGAGAGGAGAAAAAGATAGAGAGAAAAATAGGGATAGATAAACAGATAGAGAGAGATATAGGTTCATAGATGTATATAGATAGATAGATAGACAAACTGATTGATAAACAGAGATAGATACATGAATAGATGAATAGAGAGAGAGAGAGAGAGAGAGAGAGAGTGGCAATGAAAAAATAAAAAGATGGATAGATCGATAAACATAAATAGATACAGAAAAAGACGAATAGATAGACAAATAGATATTGAGACAGAGACATAAACAGAACTAGAGATAAAGACAAAAAAAACAACAACAGATAGAGAGAGAAAGACAGACAGACAGAAATCAGTTTAGCACAAAGAGGCAGGGAATACAATGAATAAATAAATGAATAAATAAATATTGTTAAGGAAAGCGTTTACAGGTTTCATTTGAGACGGGAAGAAGAATGAAAAGAAATAGAATGGAGAATGAAAGGCATAAATAGAAAAGGAGAATAAATAGTGATAATAGATATACAAGATTATCGAGTTTTTTTTTTTCATCGGAATAGTGAGTGTATATTAAGAAATCAAGATGAAGGGGGAGTAATAAAAAAGAATAAATAAGATAAAAATCGAGATAAAAGAAAATGCGAATTATTTTATTATCATTATTATTTTCTTTTTGTGAAGTTATGATTCTGTGAAATATGGTGAAGAAAAAAGAAATGATAGATAGATAAATCAGATAAAATCCATAGACAGATTTAAAAAAATCAATAATGATGATGACGATAAATATAATAAAAATGTTTTAAGGCCTTCATCCAAAAAATAGATAAATAGATTTTTAAAAAGTTATATTCAGGAGAGAAATAAGTACATCATAAAATGATTTTCAATGACAATAACCATCATGCAAAATTAAATTATTCACTCTGTGATTTAATGATTCCATCACAGTAAGCAAAGCGGCCAAAGCAACTGATAGATAAAAAGAATAGATATATAAATCCTCTTGAATCATGAAGTTATTACGATTGCAATTAATATGCAAGGTAACTGTTGATAAAAATGATCTACTATGAAATGTTCTCTTCATCATTTCATAGCAATTTTTTTTTATGTGATGCCTAGAGCTCTTCAGGTATTTAAATGCAAACATAAGTGAATGGGTCTTTTTATTCACAATTATGAGAAAATGATGATATATTCATGGGAGACAGATAATTAGATAGAAGGATAAAAAGTTAGATGGATAGATATAGAAAGGGGAGGTGGGGACAGATAAATAGACTGAATGAATGAGAGAGAGAGAGAGAATGAGAGAGATGAGAGAGAAGAGAGAGAGAGAGAGAGAGAGAGAGAGAGAAGAGAGAGAGAGAGAGAGAGAGAGAGAGAGAGAGAGAGAGGAGAGAGAAGAGAGAAGACAGACAGACAGACAGACAGACAGAAAAATAGAGATTCAGACAGACAGACACAGAGAGAAAGAGAGAGAGAGCGAGAGAGAAAAAGAGAGAACTGACAGATAGAGAGATAAACAGA